ATTATTATTATTATTATTATTATTATTATTATTTTGTTTTTGTAAAAAATAAGTTTGTTCCCCTGAGTTCAAAGGTTATCATTTGAGAAGATCAAAGGTTCTGGAAGAGCCTGAGGGGAAACCCCACAGGAGACTGGGTCCTGTTACAGTGTCTCCTGGTCTCTTGTAGACCAGCAGTCTGAGGAGTGTTTCATTCCACCCCTCATCACAGGGTCCTGACGGTGGTCCTCCAGGCCCTGAAAGACAGTCTCGAAGGCCCAGTAAATGATATGAAGTCCCATCAGGACTTACAGGGACAGTTCAGATCTTTGTCKGTGCTGTTCTCTGGAGCAGCTGTGAATAAAATCAGCTGAAGATTTAAAAACAGAAGCAGCTCTTCTACAGGTCTGAGCAGAACCCACCAATATCAGGATTTCTTTCTAATCCTGGTCCAGTGCTGGAGGAATTACATCCAGGCAGGAACACCAAAGTCCAAATGGAGGGTCCCACTGTGTTCCCAAACCAGACCGGTTCCATAATCCTTCCAGAGATTTCTGAGTCTGCTGCAGTGGAAGAGGTCCTGGAGGCTTCATAATGTCTTGATGATGTTGAGGGTAGTAATAATATTGCATCACTTTTATGTTGCGCTTCTTAGGACACTCAAAGATGTTTACATTATTTATTCACACACTGATGGTGGTAAGCTTACATTGTAACCACAGCCGCCCTGGGCACAGAGGCAGGGCTGCCATACTGTGCCACTGGCCCCTCTGACCACCACTAGTAACAGACAAGATGGGTAAATTGTCTTGCCCAAGCACACAATGATTAAGACAGCTGGAACGGGGGGATCAAACTAGCAACCCACCAGTTACAGGACRACTCCCCTAATCTCTTTGCCACAGCTGCATGATGATAATGATGATGATATGATAAAGATGATGGTGATGACGATGATAGTAGAGATGATTATGATGGTGATGATGACAGTCCGTCCGTCTTCTCCCTGGGCTGCCACCTTATCTTGGTGGAGAGGTTTGACTGTCCCAGTGATCCTAGGAGCTATGTTGTCGGGGGCTTCATTCCTAGGGTAGGATGACCCAAGGCAAACAGGTCCTAGGTGAGGGATCAGACAAAGCACAGCCCAAAGACCTCTATGATGACCTCGCCCGAACGTGAGTCACCGGGGCCCCCACTCTGGAGCCAGGCCTGGAGGTGGGGCATGGTGGAGTGCCTGGTGGCCGGGCTTTCGCCCATGGAGCCTGGYCAGGCACAGCCCGAAGAGGAGACGTGGGTCCTCCTTCCCATGGGTTCACCACCTGTGGGAGGGGCCGTAGGAGACGGGTGCATTGTGTGTTGGGCTGTGGTCAAAGACGAGAACCTTGGCAGTCTGATCCTCGGCTACAGAAGTTGGCTCTAGGGACGTGGAATTTCACCTCTCTGGTGGGGAAGGAGCCTGAGCTGGTGTGTGAGGTTGAGAGGTTCCGACTAGATATAGTTGGACTTATCTCGATGCACCATTCTGGCTCTGGAACCAGTCTCCTCCAGAGGGGTTGGACACTCTTCCACTCTGGAGTTGCCCATGCTGAGAGGGGCCGAGCAGGAGTGGGCATACTTATTGCCTCCATCTCGGTGCCTGTACGTTGGGGTTCACCCCTGTGAATGAGAGGGTAGCCTCCCTCCACCTATGTGTAAGGGGACAGGTCCTGACTGTTGTTTGTGCCTATGCGCCTAACAGCAGTTCAGATTACCCACCCTTTTTGGAGTCCTTGGAGGGGGTGCTGGAGAGCGCTCCTAATTGGGACTCCCTCGTTCTTCTGGGGGACTTCAATGCTCACGTGGGCAATGACAGTGAGACCTGGTGTTGGGATTTGTGTCTTGTCTGTTGTCTCCCTCTTGTGTCCTCTTTGTGTCTTTACTTCTCATCTCTCCTCAGTCTGTTTTCCTGTCATTCTCTGTTTACCACTCGCCTGTCAGTCATTTGTAATCAATTATCCTCAGCTGTTGTTTATCATTCTCTCTCCCTTTGTTAGTATACAGAGGGATTGTGGGTAGTTTTGTAACAATGACCCTAAACAGTGCCCAAAATCTACTAAGGCCTTCATACAGAGGAACAAGTACAACGTTCTGGAATGGCCATCTCAGTCCCCAGACCTGAATATTATTGAAGATCTGTGGTGTCACTTAAAGAGAGCTGTCCATGCTCAGAAACCATCAAACCTGAATGAACAAGAGATGTTTTGTAAAGAAGAATGGCCTTAAATACCTTCAGCCACAATCCAGACTCTCATTAGAAGATATAGGAAGTGTTTAGAGGCTACTTCTGCGAAAAGAGGATCTACTAACTATTGAGTTAAAGTTTCATTTTTTGGTCCACAAATTTATGCACCTGCCTAATTTTGTTYAACCAATTATTGCACACTTTCTGTAAATCATATAAACTTAATTTCACTTATCAAACATCACTGTGTTTGTCCCCTATATGATATATTTTACTGATTTTCTTTTCCAAACAATCAATGATTTATAAAGGTAAATCAGGAAAATTAACAAGGCTSCCCAAACTTTCGCACCCCACTGTATATTCTGTCTCATTTGTTCACATCTTCAGTGGATCATTGTATGGATTTTTCCATCRTCTCGGTCTTCTGTCTTTCTGTGAATCTCCCTGAGTTTTGAAAGTTTTGCTGCGTTGTCAGCCTTTTGTTTTTGTTTAATAAATATTTTTATTTTTGAGCTCCTTGTGTCTGCCTGCTCTTGGGTTCATTCTCAACCAGACCCTTGACACCTAGAGGGTGTCAAGAGCGTGGTTGGGAGGAACCCCCCGATCTGAACTCGAGCGGTGTTTTGTTATTGGACTTCTGTGCTCATCATGGATTGTCCATAATGTACACCATGTTCAAACATGAGGGTGTCCATATGTGCTCTTGGCACCAGGATACCTTAGGCCGCAGTTCGATGACCGACTTTGTTGTCATCTCATCTGATCTACCGCCACATGTTTTGGACACTCAGGTGAAGAGAGGGGTGGAGCTGTCAAGTGACCACCAGGTAGTGGTGGTGAGTTGGCTCTAATGGTGGGGGAGGATGCCAGTCAGACCTGACAGACCCAAATGTATAGTGAGGGTCTGCTGGAAGCATCTGGCAGAGTCTCCCGTCATACTGAGCTTCAACTCACACTGCCGGGAGAAGTTTGAACACATTCCGGGGGAGGTGGGGGACATTGAGTCCAAGTGGACCATGTTCCGTGTCTCCATTGTTGAGGCAGCTTACCTGAGCTGTGGCCGTAAGGTCGTCTGTGTCTGTCGTGGTGGCAACCCTCGAACCCGCTGGTGAACACTGGCAGTGAGGGATGCTGTCAGACTGAAGAAGGATTTCTATCGGCCAGTCTCTGTTACGGCCAGAGGTCTTTCTTCTATGTTTATACTAAAGCATGGAATGACATTCCTCAAAACATAAAGTCCATTTCAAAAC